AGAAATTTGACAAAAAATGGACACTTTCTATACTAAATTAAAGTAATGTTTCCTAATGATTGTATGTTATGTTATGGTCATTCGATGTTTCCCCCACACCCTTTATATTCAACAAAAAATGGACACTTTCTATACTAAAATAATGTTTCCTAATGTTTGTATGTTATGGTCATTCGATGTTTCCCCCACACCTTTTGTACGTATTCAACAAAAAATGGACACTTTCTATACTAAAGTAATGTTTCCTAATGATTGTATGTTATTGTCATTCGATGTTTCCCCGCACCTTTTATATTCACTATGGATCCGGAACATTTGACTTGCTTTGCCGCAAATCAACGACATCATATCTTGGAGGACCACATCTCGAGACACCTTCTTCCTCATTCATCCGTTTGTTGCCGCAAGGCACCTCTGCCGCATAGCAGAGGATCTATCTCAACCGACTCCATATATACTTCGTATAATAGAGTATTACTAAATGCACTTTCTAGCTAGTCATACACCATATATAAGTTTTAAATCATAGTTGGTACACTACTAAAACTAACCCCCAATATAATTAAAGTTGATACACCAGCTATTTCAAGAGGTTAAAGGATCAAACAAGCCCTTATATCATCTCTTCTAAATCTTAATTTGATCGTTGAACTAAAAAATTTCCAATTCATGTTCTGAAATTGATACAATAATTCAAACTAGCTTAAATGTTACAAGTAATGTTCTAGTCAGCGTCATAGTCATTTGGTAAGGAGCGAGCATCACATCTACATGACAACTTAAAGGGTCAAATAACCATTCAATTAACTCGAGCGAATTGTTCAGCTCACCCCTCAATCATAAAAACTTTGAAATTCAAACATTAAAATGGAAAATACAAGCAGAAAATGTAATACTAGTCAAAAATGTAAAATATATATAGACATTTATAAAAACATAAATCAGAAAGTTTCGTATTCGGTATTCCCTCTCTCTTTGCTATCTTTGCTTTTTCAGTTGTCCCCAAAAAATTGTTGCTTTAAATTTTAATCAATTAATCAATTAATGGTTCCTATTAATTATTTCCCTTATCACTCCAGAAACCTCAACCACACATATTTATTTTATTATTCTATGTGTCGGTCAAATTTGGCAAAGTTTTAATATAAAATGTAAATTAAAATAAAATTTATACTTTATAATTAAATTTTATGTTTTTATTTTATATTAAATATTTTATACATTATCTATTTGTCTTACTTTTATATATTTAATGATTACTCCCTCCGTCCTCTATTTAACTTTTTACTTTCCCTTCTGGATGTCACAGACAAGTTCACAATTCCTTATTTGACAAACAAATTTACACCAAAACAGTGCAAAACAATGTCAAACAGTATCAAAGTAGTGCAAAGCAGTGCATTCAACACTAAAATTTACCTCTCAGTAAATTTATTTCCTTAATATGTGTGAAGTCAAACTAGAAACTTAAATAAGGGACGGAGGAAGTATAATTTTACTTTATGTTTTATATTTGAAATTTTTGTTATCTAACATATTTCATGTTTTCATTTTTATATATACGGTATTAACTTATTATTATTTTATATTTTAATACTATAAGATTTATATTTTTATTTTATTTAATATTTTGTAATTTTACTATTCATGTCATACTTATTATATACGAAGTATATACTATATAACATTTTTAGTATATACCACTTTTTCCAATCCTCATTTTGTAAATAATTCCTTTTTAGCATTAATTAGGAAATAAACTCAAATATATACCCCTCCGCCCTTTAAAATTTTTTCACCTTTGAATTCTTTTATCAACCATGTTCAACTTTGACCGGTTATATATTTTATAGGAATTTATTTATAATATTAAAATGATATGAAATTTTCTTTGTTAAATATACTTTCATATATAACAGTATAAATATTTTCAACTTTCAAAATATTATACTAATCAAAATCATGGTCCAAACTTTATTACCGTTAACTTAAAAAGTCAAAGATGACAAAGTTCTAAGCGACGGGTGTAGTATATATGTGTATTTTCACTAGCACAAAAAGTGTCTACTCTAGCATCCATTTTTAGCACCATATAAATTGCTACCTTATAGTATCTATTATAACATTATTGTACCAAAAAATGTTACAATAAAATGACAAATTACTACAATACATCTATTGTAATACCACTCAGATGCAGCATGCTAAAAAGGTTGCATTTGATTTTTTTTTGAAAATAAAGGGTTGAATTTGATATATTGTGCAGTGACATTTTTACACCTATTACAACATTTTACATATGCAACAAAAGGTATACTTTGTTGCAGTGAATTTTATAGAAATTGATCAATATAGAATTCAAACATACACAAAGTTCAAAAGTAGACAAGGTATACTTTATTCCCCAAGTATGACTTATTTAGGCCCATCAAAATAATAAGTTGATTAAAAATTTCGGAGTGAATGAGTGCTATTTTGAAAAAAAAAATATTGATCTTATATATAAACTTTAATTTATCTTTGTTTTAGTCCTATTTACCAATTCTCTCTTTATTTTATACTCCTAATTTTCTACCTTCATGTTCCAAAAAGGCTCTAATTTTCTAGTTTCACTATAAGCCTAATTGGTAGAACATATTTTCGTGATAATAATGGTGTATAAACGAGCCCTTTTGTTAGACACATAATTAAGTTATGATCTCACGCGCTTAATTGTTTAATACTGTGTAATATAGTCAACATAAGAGCCTATTTTGTAACAATGATATTGACTGGATTGGCTAATTTTGCTCAAATTGATGAAGTTATGGCTGAAATGACTAATTTATGAAAAAAATTAATTATATTTTATTAATAAAATAAATATTTTTATGAGAATAGCTAAAATGGTCTTCTACAATAACTTCAATTCAATATGTCAGATATACTCGTTACTAGATTCATGTTCGATTATTCAATAACTACTTGAATCTTTAATAATCATTAATAAATTTATAAAATTGCAGTCAAAACACTTAAGTTTTAAGTAGATATGCTCCCTCTGTATGTTAATGTTCACTACATTAGGTTAGACACGTTATTTAAGGAGTGAAGTAGTAGGAGTAGTGAATATGTACATTGTAGAAAAAGTAAGAGAACGTGTGTAAGAGTATGAAAGACAATAAAAAGTAGAAAAAGTAGAGTAGTTGAGTGTTTTATAAAGGGTAAATTTACAAAAAAAAAAATAGAAATGTAGGGAACTTTTAAGTACAGCCCAAAAGAAAGTGTAGAGAACTTTTAAATATGGAGGGAGTATAAAATATATTCCAATAACTTATTCAGAAGTAGGGGTGTAATGAACGATACTCTCGAATCCAGATTGAACCATACATCACTATGTTTAAACTCGGCTTAAATAACTATTCAAACTCAAAATCTAGCTCGAGTTTGAAGCTTGTTAAGCTCGGACCATTAAATTAGATTCGAAATCAAGCTCGAACTTGAGTATATAATTCGAAAAAAGCTCGATTCGATAACAACTCTGAGCTAAACCCTGTACGTATAGTACTAATTTTTTACTGCTTAGTTCACCCAACCTCTCGATCCTAGATCCACCCCTGGGAGCAGGGGCGTAGCTAGGGGCCAACACTTGCCCCGACCCATCCCAAATATAAAAAATATTTATACTTTTAGTGTAAAAAGTTTCGTGTAAAAAGTTTTCCAAAAAAAACTTTATACTGACCTAGTTCGGTACAGAGCTCTAGCTCCGCCCCTGCCTGGGAGGTAGTATAATTCTATTTTACAAATGTGTGTGAGTGAATGAGGGAGAGAATTCATAAAAACGTATCCATTATTGCATTTAGATATACCTGCTGGTGGCTCTTGTTGGATCCTTGAATGATCTTGTTTTGTCATGGCAGCTTCAATTGCTGTCATTTTACAATGAAGCTAAGCTAGTAACTTCAAAAAGTGTGGCTCTATAGAGTGGATCGCTTGGTGTAATTTATTTTGCTGCATCGTCGTAACAGGGGTATTTATACTAGAGCATGTGTTCTTTGATGGAAAAAGCTACTACGTACATTCTTAGTTTTCATGGGGAAAGAATATTTTATTTGACCAAAATGTCTTTAAGAATATGTATTATAAATATTAACAAATAAATGTGCACGGTGCACATGTGGCATGAATGATAGCCACATAAATATTAACAAATAAATTATCTCTCTCCTTATTTGAATGATTTTATACAATTTTGGTAAATTTTTCCCTGCAATGTCAACAACAATGTCAACATCTAGACGGTCTCTTTGACATTGTGGAGAAAACTTACCAAAAGTGTACAAAATCATTCAAATAAAGAGAAAAAGAATTTATTTACTAATATTTATGTGGCTATTTCTCATACCACGTGTGCACCGTGCACATTTTAACATTGGAGATGCTCTAAACGATCAAAAGTGGATGGATGAAAATGTCTCGATGCAATATTGCACGCCAGATGCTCGAAAATTGAAAGACTACTTTTATTGGAGCTGAACTCTCTCAACATATATGAAAATTTGTCTCGTAGAAGTCAATATTCGGAAAACTCATTTCTTTCTTAGTTGCAACATCACAACTGAGGTATGAAAATATTTTACATCGTCACAATTGATGCATCAATAATTCTACTTTTACATTGTCATGAAAAATTGTCCCGAAGGAGTCAATATTTGGGAAACTCATTTTTTCTATCTTAGTTGTATCGTCACAACTGATGTATGACAAATTATACGGTTACATTGTGCAAAAAACACATTTAAACCTAGAATTATTCATGCATCAATTGTGACAACAGAATAACCCGACTAATAGGTTCACTCTTCTTTGTCATGTCATTCAAAAAGTATTTAATTTTATTTTTATAAGGTTTTTAATACATATTTTAAAAATGCGAATAATTAATTTTATATTGTTTTAACTCTCATATTAGCCTCAAAGTATTATAAAATGACAAGTTTAAATGTGTCTATTAGATTTATGCAATCGATAATAAAAAAAATTCTAAGTAGAGTTGTTTCGGAGTTAGATATGGACTAAAATCAAAGTAGAGCATATTACAGGGATGAAGAACAAAAAAATATTTTGTAGGGACCTAAAACAAAATATTTCATATTTGCAGGGACTAAAACCATATTTAAATCATAATTCTACTTTAATTTTACTTTGTCATGTTTAGTTTCATGTTCCAAAAAGCTGAATCATCAACCTCCAACCCAACAAGGCATTTAGAAGGATGCAAGTCACAGTGACTCAGTTTGCCCAATGGTGGTAGACTATGTACCCATACGCAACAAAGGTCCAATCCAACACACGAGTTGTAACTTCTACATGACCGTTGCGGGTTTGATCCTTGCAATTGATCGGTGTTCTAACTTTCTCACCACTGCAAGGTAGACTTCTCGCACGTAGTCAAATATACATACTTTGTATATTTTTAAAATCAAGGAATATTATGAAACGTGTATCAATTTCAAGTTTAGATTGTGCTAAATCACGAAATCATAACTTTTAACTCATAATGAATTATGAGAGTCATATTATATCAAATTTAAAAGGGGAAAATAATTAAAATACCCCAAACTTTGAAGGGGTGTGAGATGAGCACCCCAAGCTTGCATATGTAATTTAAATACCCCAAACTTTAAATAAAAAGTTATTTTAGCACCATAGTTAAGTATTATTTCTTTCAAAAATGTAAACTTATGGTGTTAATTGCATAATTTAAAATATTTTAGAATTCCTGAAGGCACAATTAGCATTTTAAACTTCCATTGAGAAAGAAATAACATTACACCCAATCTATATAATTGCAACACTTTTACTTTTCTATTTCAAATTATGCAATTAATCCCATAAATTTACATTTTTGAAAGAAATAATACATGAAAATGATGCGAAAATAACATTTTATATAAAGTTTGGGGTATTTAAATTACAAATGCAAGTTTGGAGTGCTTATCTCACACCCCTTCAAAGTTTGGGGTATTTTTATTATTTTTTCCAATTTAAAATGATCTCTACATTTTCATATTTTCATGACCTAAAGACCCATTCTGGTATTTGAATATAGCTCGATTGTATCAAAGACTCAATTGTAATTCCTTATTACGAATTGAACCTGGTCAATAGCTCCATTTCAAGTCATAACTTTAATATATCAATAAACTCAATTGTAATCCCTTAATACGGAAATAACTAGAAGTGAAGAAGTGTCTTCGGCTTCCTAAAGACCCATTCTCTTATAGTCTTATTTGAATAATTCAAAGACTAAGAATTAAAGAACGTAGTTGAGTTATTACTCTTCATATGTTCTATTTGGAACCTTTTGTCAGGCGTTGTGGAATCCTATCAATGTAAAAAAAAAAAAAAAAGGTACTACGATGGCAAGCCATCACCAAAGCATGTGGGATCGACTCATACCAGATTCCATGGGAAACATTTGAAACTGAGCTATGGACCAGGTTCAATTAGGGCCTATCAATGGAGAGAACTTTCACAAAACCCTTTCTCACATCCGCTAGAAGGGACCCCCGATCGAGTAGCAGATGGAGTTTGAGTGCATAGAGAACAAGGTGGAAGGGTAGTCAGAAAAGGCTTAGCAGGGGCATTTATGGGCGGCCTTAACACCTCCATCTCATACGCCATTTGTTTCTTCAAACCCAAGACTTTGAAAGAAATTATTAATCTGGCAAGGCTGTGGTGATCAGTTGCAGAAAGAGAAAAGGTGGAGTAGTCCCCACAACGCCCACTCCACCTCAGCTTCAACAATGGGGAACTCCGTTCTCTTCCCGCACCCTCTCCATTCCCCGGGGAAGTTGGACGTGACCAAATCTGGCGCAGATAGAAGTCTGGTCGTAGCAGAGCAATCTCTGACTGGAGAAAGAACGGGCTGAACGGGGCGTGGGCTAGCGATCTGGAGGCGGGGCTTCTGAATCCGAAAGAGGCTGCCGTGCGCAGGAAGCTTGAGTGGCTGCAACAGAAGTAGAGAATCTTCAGTTAGGAAACAGACACGCCTGGGAAATCAAAATCATAGCTACCCACATGGTTTGCAACTCGTTTTCAGGGTCAATCTAGGGGAGACCAAATTCACTGGAGGGGTTCAGAAGAATTCAAACACAATAGATGTGTCACAAGATATGGCAAAGCTCCTTCCATATAATCGGCTTTTTAGCTAGAGTGAAGAACTATAGGAGTTCAATTCAACAAAGTCGGGGATCAGACGCCACTAAACTAATTCAACAAAGTCGGGGATCAGACGCCACTAAACTTTAACCGTGTCTTGAAATGTCTTGTACAAAGTGTCCACACAATTCTAATGAAGTCCAGATATGTACAAAAAAAGTCTATTAAAATCTCATATGAACACAAATCACAATATGTTTTAAAATGTCCCAAATCAATACACCCCATATTGCTTGGCATTATTGAACTATTGAGTTGGTTTCTACAATGATACTATCATAGAAGAATATTAGTGTCTACTGTATTGTAATTGGCACAAAAACTTCTTGGGGCTATACCAGTGCACACCGCTAACAATATGACCGTTTTACTGTATTAACAGTTCAGCACATATTAGCATCCTACATGTTTTTTTACACAAATATTCTTACACAACTTATGAACTCTAGTTGCACTTTGGTTTTCTATAAGACCAACATTAGAGTATTGTTTGTTAATGTCATTTTTGTTGTGATGAGAAGACTGATAATCATAAACCGTACTCACACTGTCACAAAATGACCTACTAAGAGGTTTCCTACTAGACTGGTAAACAAGCTAATGTTACATTTTGTAATAAAAACGCAGCTTAGGTTACATTCGGTTTGCATAGCTACATCTTAATACACAAGTGAAGAACTTTAATCGGGATAAACTATGCAGCTTAGAATTCAACCTCATTTTATCTTCTGGTGTTTACCCAATTTCGATCGCCGTTGCTTAAACAAGTGAAGGTACAGTTTCAGCCATAAAACTGGATACAGGAGAAGCAGCACCTGCATTCAATTAAACAAGTAAATAAGTTTAACTTTTACACTTAAGTGACCATGACACTATACAATAGTACCGAGTAACTATTTATCATATTTTTTAAAATAAGTTTTATTTCAATAACATTTTTGAAAAAAAATCTCAAAAAAAAAAACACTGCTTGAAATGAAATAATTGAATTGACATGGCAAATAATAAACAAATAAGAAGCTTCATGGAGCTTTACTTATCTTGAGCTATCCTGACATAAGCAACAAACATTAGCGGCGGCAGTAAGATTCTCTTCGAGTTTGCATTCTTATTTATAAATTAATTAACTAATGCTTGATAGCCTACAAGGGGCTGTTTGATTTTCTTTTGCATTTTAAAAGATCAAAACCAAACATACAAAGAGGGGATTTACTTTAAGTCAGCCTCAGCCGTATAATGTTTCTCATAATGACCCTCTCCAAAAAAGGTTTCATACAATGAGGGTTATTTTACACTTACTCCAAGATAAGTGAATACCGTGGGTTATTTTGAAAAATGAAAGTATCACAAAAATGATGGTAGAAATTTCCCAGTATTATTAGTTCCTTAAACAGATATAATCCTTTCCCTGCCATTTCCCAGAATCAAACAAGACTAAGACAGTCAAAACCACAAAATAAGAACTTCCTTAGCATAATGAGGCAGAGGGAAATGGGGCAGTGTACATACCACAACAAAGTTATAATAACTGAAAGGGAGGCGATCTGTATACAACTTTTTCTCTTTTATAACAGGAAGTGCTTGGTACATGAGCCACACTAGAGCACAACATAATGTAAACTCGTTTAGAACAATGAAATGGATCGTCAACATAATTAGCATATTTATACACAGGTGGTCTAAATTTCTAAAAGCTCAACTAGCACTTACTTTCACCGGGAGCAATTCCAATGGGATACAGTACGATAAAAGCAGTGTACCTATCCCAAAACGAAAAAGAAGTTGTGGTGACAAATCAACACTCCTATTGTTCTAATGTATGAAGAGGGCATTTGGTAGACTAAAGAATCTATGATGCTTGTAGCAGAGAATAAATAAGCAGCTTTTGAATTACTTATTTGGCTGAAATGGGGGTTTACCAAATGTTTTATTGTTCAGAAAATTGACAAATTCAACCATATCGGCCAAATAATCCTACCAAATGGGCTCTAGATGATCAAACCTGATTAAAGTGACCCAATAGGGTGGCGTGCTAATGCAATTCAAGGCATAATGTGAATATCTTATAACCTGCATCAGACAACCCCAAAATAGGCATAGTATAACAATAAATTAGAGATCAATGTGATTGTGTAAGAGAGTAAGGGACTTACTTCAGATAAGCTCCAAGCTAAAAAAGTAATGAAAACTGCTGGCAGCTCTTGGACCTAAAGCAAGAAACAGGATGGAAGTAATAAGTGGAGAAATACATCAACAAGTAAATCATACCGCATATTTAAACTATATGCAAAAAGATAATATCATCATGGAGATATGGATTGATTAAGGTATTGAGAAGTGATAATATAAGAGGTAACTGAAAACCTCATTGATGGAGCGAACGAGAGCTAGTAGGAAATGAATTCTTCCACCCCATTGCATCAATGGTAGTAGAACTCCACTAGGAACAATCCCTTCAACCTCAAACACAAATTATTAAATATAACCTGGGTCAAATTTGTGTTAATTCAGCGAACACCATTTTTCCTTGTACTCCGTATTATACTTCAGATTTCTATTTTAAAGAGTCAACAAAGATACCAGGAACAATTCAAGACCTTATACAGTGGCCACTATCTTTTTATTTTGTGGCTTGATTCAAGTTAACCTAAAGATAGGTTTACTAATAATTTCAAGGATCTAAAAGATGAAACTCATCAACTCACCACTCCCAACTATTGAAACTATGACGTTTAAGACTAAAGTTTGACTCTTTTAAGTTTGTAATTACTCTATGTTAATCTCGAACGAAAAATTAAAACGGATAACAAATACGAGTAAATTTTAATAATTTTTTAATGATGTACAAATCTCAATGAGTGATTTTTTCAAATCTTGTATTGATAGTTTTAAGAAATCCTTCCCAATTCCGGTCCTGAGAACTGAAAGCTAGATACTGAGAAAGCATGACCACAATATACCTAAAGCGCCATGTACGACTTCCAGGAATGCCAGACTTTGCAGAAAACCTACGAAGAACAACATTAATCATGAATGTAATCAAATAGACTGACATATACTATCTAGGTACCACATGGGAGAAATGAAAAATAGGGATTTACATATAAGCTCTCCAGCAGAAGCGTAGGCCCCATCGAAAGACTTTGTGGAAGCTAAGCTGTTGGAGATTCTCCAAAGTGAAACTGCCCTGCATATAGAAATATGTATAGATTTAGCTCAAAATGTTGATGAACTGTGAAGGTCCAGAAAGAGAGGGGGCAGAAAGAAGGACTATTACCATCCAATGGCCTGAATGGAATTATAAAGGAAGAGGTAGCTGCTGCGCACTTGAGCGGACATTTGCTCCGGCGTGGATGGTATTGGAAGAAACAGCTGAACGATGGGTTCTGGGGTTTGTATGGCAGCCGCCTCAAATCTGATGTTTTGGATTCAACGGCTGATAATGGAGATGAGTCGCATCTTGCTCCCGTAATTTTCTGCACTTTCAGAGTAGTTCGACGGCTGAGTAAAGTGAGAACAAATATTCTATAGCTACCCCAAGACTAAAAAAATGTAGAAAAATGCTAGGGGTACACAATTTGTGTACACCCTTGGCATCCCATATAAATACTCCCTATTTTTATCATCATTTACCCCTGTTAGTAAATGAGATCATTCAAAAGTCTGTTAAATACTCCCTCCGTTCTGTTGGAATGTTCCCACTTTCCTTTTTTTGGGTGTCCCAATTGAAAGTTCTCATTTCCCTAAATGGAAAGTTATCCTACATCAAAACAGTGTCAAACAGTGCAAAACAGTGTCAAACAGTGTCAAACAGTGTCCAAACAGTGTCCAAATAGTGTCCGAACAGTAAAATTTACCCCTGGTAAGTTTATTTCCTTAATACTCCCTCCGTCCCGTTGGAATGTTCCCACTTTCCTTTTTTGGATGTCCCAATGGAAAGTTCTCATTTCCCTAAATGGAAAGTTATCCTACATCAAAACAATGTCAAACAGTGCAGAACAGTGTCAAATAGTGTCAAACAGTGTCCAAACAGTAAAATTTACCCCATCGTAAGTTTATTTCCTTAATATGTGTGTAGGTCAAACCGGGAACATTCCAACGGGATGGAGGGAGTATGTGTGTAGGTCAAACCGGGAACATTCCAACGGGACGGAGGGAGTAGTTTGTTAATCAGATTCGTTAGTCAGTTAGCGGCCCTATTACATATACTTGTATTCCTTCAGTTTTGTTAAGACAAGAATAATACGAAGCTCCCTTCTCTGCCTTTATTATTAAACTCTATTCATCTTTTCTAATTCCTCTGTAATTAGTCATCTTCCCCAACAAACTGGTATCAGAGCTCAGAAGATCGAAGGGAAGAAGCTGCGAAATTAAGATGAACAGTACCGTGTTTCCTGCTACACTTCCGGTTCTCGACGGAAAGAATTGGAGCAGATGGCATATTCAGATGAAGGCCATTCTTGGATTCCAAGAAATTACAGAGATTGTGGAGAACGGATTTCCAGATCTACCGGAAGGTGCGACTGAGGCACAGAGACAAACCCACAGAGAAAACAAGAAGAAAGACTGCAAGGCTATGTATCTCCTTCATCAGTGCGTGGATGAGGTTCATTTTGAGAAGATTTCCTCTGCAAATACCTCTCAAGAAGCATGGCAGATTCTTGAGTCGTGTTATAGAGGTGAAGAGCAGTTGAAGAAGGTCCGTTGCAGACCTTGAGAAGGCAGTACGAGTTGATGCAGATGAAAACAAATGAGAGAATTCCTGCATACTTCAATCGAATTACCACCATTACAAATGCAATGAAGAGATGTGGCGAGAAGATTACAGAGTAGACCATTGTTGAGAAGATCCTGCGAACCCTAACTCCTAATTTTGATCACATTGTTGTGGCGATTGAAGAGTCCAAGAAGCTTGAAGACCTGAAAGTTGAGAAACTTGAAGGCTCCCTTGAGGCTCATGAGCAAAGGCTCATTGAGAGATCTACAGATAGGTCTGTTGATCAAGCCCTCCATGTTCAGACCACTGGAAGGGGTGGTTACAAGGGAAGAGGGGGTTTTAGAGGCCGAGGGAGAGGAAGGGGTTACAAAGGGAAGGACAGGAATTCTCAGCAACAAAACTCAGATAAAGAAGAGAAAGATCAGCCTGAAAGCTCATCAAGAAGGGGTGGTTTGCAGAACTGGATAGGAGGAAAGAAGAAGGTAGATAGAACCAAGATAAGTGCTTCAATTGTAACAAGATTGGACACTTTTCCAATGAATGTCAGGCTCCTCCTAATCAGTACAATCAGAAGGCAGATGAGGCACATTTGGCAAAGGAAGAAACTGCAGAAAAGGTGGAAGATGATCCAGTTCTACTTCTGATGACTACACACCAAGAACAAGGGTCACATGCTGATAAAATCTGGTATGTTGATTCTAGTTGTTCTAATCATATGACTGGTCATAGAGATTGGCTTGTGAACTTTGATTCCAACAAAAGGAGTAGAGTTAGATTTGCTGATAATAGAGTTATTATGTCTGAAGGAACTGGGGATGTTATTGTGAAGAGGAAAGATGGCAGAAATGCCATGATTACTGATGTGATTTTTGTGCCCGGCATGAAAAGTAATTTGATCAGTTTAGGTCAATTGCTAGAAAAAGGATTTACTGTGAATATGCATAGCAGACAACTGAATTTGGTTGATGGTTTCAATAGAAAGGTCTTAACTGCTCCTCTTTCACAAAATAGAACTTTTAAAATTGACTTGAATGCTGTTGAAACTCAATGTTTTAGTGCTGAACTGCTGGATGATGATAGTTGGTTGTGGCACATGAGATTAGGTCATCTGAATTTCAGAGATCTTAACCTCATGAAAGTTAAGGAAATGGTCCTAGGCTTGCCCTCAATTCATGTTCCAAAGAAGATTTGTGATAGTTGTATGATCAGTAAACAGTCCAGATCTGCATTTGGTAGTTTTGCTGCATCTAGAGCTGATAGTCTACTGCATGTTGTGTATTCAGATGTGTGTGGACCCATGGAGGTTCCTACTTTGGGTGGAAATAGGTACTTTGTTACCTTTGTTGATGAGTTGAGCAGAAAACTTTGGCTTTACCTGATTAAAGCTAAAAATGATGTGTTCAGTGTGTTCAAAATGTTTAAGTGTTTGGTTGAAAAGCAATCTGGTAGTTGCATCAGAATACTCAGAACAGATGGTGAGGGAGAATATTCTTCCAGAGAATTTGGAAGTTTCTGCCAAGATAATGGAATAATGCATGAGGTTACAGCACCTTACACTCCACAGCATAATGGAATTGTAGAGAGGAGAAACAGAACAGTTCTAAATATGGTGAGAAGCATGCTAAAGAGTAAAGGGTTGCCATTAAGCTTGTGGGGAGAAGCTGCAACCACAACAGCTTATATTCTGAATCATTGCCCTACCAAGAAGTTGGAGTTCAAGGTTCCTGAAGAAGTCTGGTCAGGAAGGAAACCTTCTATTAAACATTTCAGAATTTTTGGCTCTCTCTGCTATAAACATGTACCTGAGCAAAGGAGAAGAAAACTTGATGATAGAAGTGTGTCTATGGTGTTTATAGGATATCATCCAACTGGAGCCTATAAATTACTTGATCCAAGGACTAATCAAGTGCATTATAGTAGAGATGTTCATTTTGTAGAGTCAAGTTGCTGGAAGGAAGAAACTCAGCAAACGGATTCATTTGTAACACTTCCTCTTGACTCAGAAGTTGGGGAGACAGATATGAGGTCACAAACCATTACTAATCCTGTAAGTAATGAGTTTGGTAGACCTAGAAGAGCAAGAAATTGTCCTCCTAGATTGAATGATTATCAGTTGATACTTGATAATGCTATTACTGATGATGGAGAGCTGGTACAACACATAGCATTGTTTGCAGATATGCAGCCAGTTGATCTCCATGAAGCATTAGACAGTCAGGTGTGGAAGAAGGCTATGGATGAAGAGCTGAAGTCTATCAATAATAACAATACCTGGGAGTTAGTTGAACCCTCTGCTGATAAGTTACCTGTTGCAGTGAGATGGGTATTCAAGACAAAACTCAATCCGGATGGTACTATTTGCAAACATAAGGCAAGATTGGTAGCCAAAGGGTTTATGCAGAAAGAAGGGGTTGATTTCACTGAAGTATTTGCTCCGGTTGCTAGGTTTGAAACAATCAGATTGATTGTTGCTTTAGCTACTGTGAGGAACTGGGAATTGAGACAGCTTGATGTTAAATCAGCTTTTCTCAATGGACCCCTTGAAGAAGAAGTGTATGTTTGTCAACCTCCTGGATATATCATTAAAGGAAGTGAAGATAAAGTCTAGAGACTGAAGAAGGCCTTATATGGATTAAGGCAAGCACCAAGAGCTTGGAACAAACGGATTGACACATTGCTATCAAACCTTGGGTTTAAGAAGTGTTATGTTGAGCATGGTGTTTATGTGAAAGTGATGAAAAGTGGAGATATTCTCATAATCTGTTTGTACGTTAATGATTTGTTGATAACAGGTAGTTGTGCTACTGGAATTGAAGATATTAAGACAAAGCTCAAATCTGAGTTTGAGATGTCAGATATTGGCAGATTGTCTTACTTTCTTGGCATAGAATTTTCACAGATTGAAGAAGGGATTCTAATGCACCAGAAGAAGTATATTCATGATGTTCTTGAAAGGTTTGACATGCTGAATTGCAATCCTGCTGAAACACCAGCTGAAGCTCAGTTGAAGCTTAACTTGGATGATGAAGAACCTGAAGTTGATTGCACTTTGTTCAGACAAATGGTTGGATGTCTGAGATTCATTTGCCACACTAGACCAGAGATATCCTACAGTGTTGGCTTGGTGAGTAGGTTTATGAGTAATCCAAAGAAAACTCATTTGACAGCAGCAAAAAGAATTTTAAGATACCTAAGTGGTACTATTGGTTTTGGAGTGTTGTTTTCTAACCAGGTTAATAACATAAGTCCAAAGCTAAAAGCTTATTCAAACTCAGATTGGTCAGGAGACATGATTGAAAGGAAGAGTACTATGGGTTATGTCTTTATGCTTTCTAGATCACCCATATCATGGTGTTCTAAGAAACAGGAAGTCATAGCTCTGTCTACTTGTGAAGCTGAATATATCTTAGCTTGTCATGCTGCTTGTCAAGCTTTGTGGTTAGGTTCTTTGTTAGAAGAATTGAAGATTGGTGTTGGCAGAAGTGTTGAGTTGTTTGTGGACAACAAATCTGCCATAAACTTGGCAAAAAAACCAGTTGCTCATGGGCGGAGCAAACATATTGAAACAAAGTTTCATTTTCTGAGAGATCAAGTTAACAAAGGGAAGATCATACTGAAGCATTGCAAGACTGAAGTTCAGATAGCTGACATACTGACTAAAGCTTTGAGAAGTGACAGATTCAAGGAGATTAGAAGACTCATGAATGTTGTTTGTTTGTAACTTTTGAATTATGAGGGAGTGTTAGTAAATGAGATAATTCAAAAGTCTGTTAAATAGTTTGTTAATCAGATTCGTTAGTCAGTTAGCGGCCCTATTACATATACTTGTATT